CTGTCTCCTGGTAGCGCCTCCATGCTATGGACACTACGCTGACAGACACAGCAAACCTTCTTGCCACAGCTCGCATTGATGTGCCATCCTGGATGAGCTGCACTACCTAAGTCACTTGTGTGGGTTGTAGACTCCGTCTCATGCTACCACGAGAGTGAAAGCACCGCCAGCATTCAAAAGTGACCAAAACATCAGTCAGAAAGCATCGGAACTGAGAAGTGGTCTGTGGTCACCACCTACAAAACCACTCCTTTATTGGGTGTGTCTTGCCAATTGCCTATAATTTCCACCTGTTGTCTATTCAATTTGCATGTGAAATTGATTGTCAATCAGTGTTGCTTTCTAAGTGGACAGTTCCATTTCACAGAAGTGTGGTTGACTTGGAGTTACATTGTGTTGTTTAAGTGTTCCCTTTATTTTTTTGAGCAGTGTATTATGGTTGAGTGTCTAAAAAACAGTAGTGGGGAAACACAGGTGTCCAGTACCTAAAGGCATACGTCCTTTGGTGCCAGCTCAGCTGACCGCGGATACTGTAGGTAATGGTGGTAACAAACTCTCCGCCCAGACCTAACTCTGAGCAGAGCTTGAGGGCAAACTTCTCTGGAGAGTTCTCCCTCTCTGACATGTCCCACTCAAACTGGTCCACCAGAGAAATGTTCCCCACATGGATGTTCAACTGTAAACATTACAAAAATGAAAAGTTGACCTTTTAAGACTGCTCTGCCAACATTACATAATGACCTGTGGTGGCAGGGTTCATCAAAATAATCCACAAAGAAGAATGTTGACAGCAAATTCAGTAGTTTGAAAACAAAGTAGCACGTTTTACCACAGTATTTAAATGACATAAATGTGTTCATTATATTGATAATTATAATAATTACTGAATGTTTTATAAATATATATATATATATATTCCAATTTACTCTCATATTTCAAAGGGTGAAAAGGCTTTTTTTTGCACATTTTCTTCAGACAAACAGTCAATTGAACAAGCATTACCTTGATGATGACCCTCTGGTCCGTCTGGTTCTCTAAGATACTGTCTGTGGGGTAAGAATCGATCTGCTGCCGGATGGCAGAGGCGATGGCAGGAACAAAGGTCAGGGGATTGAGGTCCAGGTCGTCACAAAGAATCTCAGCAAACATCTCAGGTGTCATTAGTTTTTCTGAAAGATGAATTAAAGCAATGACGATAAAGGATCTGTTGAGGTGTTTTGAAGTAACAGTATATCCTTACCAATCTAAAACAAGTGACAGGTTAATTTACCATTCATATTCCAGGTGAAAGCATCTCTAAGCTTCTGTCCCTCAATCTCCATGTCAAGACGGATTGGCACAAGAACTTCAGACTGAGAGGCGTTCTCGTGAATTACAGCTGGATTGTGGTCGTCAAAGCTGAGCAGCAAACACAGTACAACAATTTACACATTTGGAACGTGAAATCAAATGTACAGTGATAAAATATTAACTAATTATTCCTGTTTCTTACCACAGTGGGAAGGGTTTCTTCTTGTCACGGCCCAGTCGACTGCGGTTGATGGTTGTGGAACAGGGAACTGCATCCAGATGGTGAGAACTGTTGGGCAGTGTAGGAACCCACTGACTGTTTCTTTTTGCCTTCTGTTCCCTGGTGGTAAAGTAAACAGATGTATAAATGTGAAGAAGAAAATATGTACAGCATTTAAGGAATTTACCTTCTTTACCAGACATTTAAAACCATTTCCAGGGTAACAGTATCAAATGGTAGTTGTAAGCTAACCATTTATAGCTAACTTAATTTTGGATTCTGTGTGTGTGTGTATACCTGAGGTAGGCAGGTGGCTCGGTACTGATGGAAACTGCTTTGTACTTCTCATCGTTTCCTTCCAATATCTCCTCCACCTCTGAAGCCTTCAGGAGAGTCACACTGGTAGCCAGCTGAGTGTAACCATGATCTTTTACACAGCCAACACAAATTGGAATAAGTCAACACCAACAGGTGGTGAGGTTTACACACACACACAAAAATCAGGGATAAGGATTCAATCGAATATATGTTCACGTGTGACAGTACTGACCGTGGGACAACTCCACAATCTTCTTGCGTTCTTCTACAGACGCCAATTTCCTCCACAGTGATGGGTATCGTTTATACAGAGAGCCTCTAAACATACGCAGGTAGTTTCCTACCTGGACAGATTCAGTAATCATAAGTAATAATGATTTTATTATGTATATTTAACTGCATTATTCATGTATCAAACACCACTTCAATCTGATTATAATTGGCCCCATTAGAGATTTGCAGCATTTAAATATCTTATGATTAAAAAGTAGATTATCTTTTTTTTTTAATTACATTAACAGATTTTATTAATCAAGTACATATAGTGCCTGAAAAAAATATATGGAAGTGTATCATCTATCAAGTGTAAAAATCATATTTTATTGTGAATTTGCTTAAATAAATGCTTTCAACTGGACGTTTTAGGGATTTTCTGTAATAGTGAAATTGTGATACGTTGGGGAACTGTATAAAGTCATTTTAAACGGCAGACAGGTCAAAATTATGACAGTGACTAATTGACTAAATGCGGTAAAGAATCAACATATTGTCTCATTGTAACTGCAAGGGAAATTTAAATCAATAAGAAAAATCTCGAAATAACTTCTAAATTCAAGAGCACTCTAAAGTATAAAGGTTAGCAACTGCGCTAAAATAGAGCTAACCAGATACAACCGAGGTAAAGCTGAATTAAAGTAAAGTCGTTTTTATATTCAACTCAGTGGTTTTACATTTGGTTCGATTTTGCTTTAATATAAACACGAAAAATGATAGAGAAAAATAAATGAACGTATGTTTTGTTAGCAGCGTCCTCCATCGCTATTAGCATCAATTGCTAACTGCCAACAAACACCGCCTCTGCTGCAAAAGGAGAGACAAAAGACACCTAAATTGTCCTTATGTTTTTAATCAAACCTTATTTTAGTTTCTCACCTCTGAACCAATCATGTAGAAGTCCCCATCCTCTTCCAGCTGGAATTTCACAGGTTTTGGACCAAACGTTTTACTGAGCGCCATTATCACATTAACTAAAACAAAGCCAAGGAGGTACAGCGCATTCGCAAAGCACAGCAGTACGGGTGCTGGAAAATTACGTCACAAAAAAGCGCATTCGCGTCAGGGAAAAAAGGATTTAAACATTGCAATTATCTGACATAGAAACATTTTTTACACCATACGTCCCCTAAATAACGTGTAATAGAAAATTACTTTAATAAAGATATGGGTTGAACATCAACCCCAGGAAATAAAATATCGGTCCGGCCGTTACAGAAAGCGTATGTGCGCCCTCCTCTGGTCACCTTCAGGACTTTTTTTGCCATTGCCAAGGAGAATGCCAGTAGTTCCATAGGATAAATCATTTTTATTGTTTTCTGGGATTACTGAATTAAAACCCAGAGTCGTATCTTTACCTTGACAAAGATTTAAAAAAATGTTTAAAACCAAACCTGGATTTGTGTGATTTAGATTTTTCTTCGCATACATTACTAAATGTTTGAGCCTTAGAACTATGAACATCATAAAAAAGAGCCTTTTTTACTTTTAGAAAGTTTATGTTTATTCATATATACATGAATATATTAATCTATAACAAGAGAGGGGATAATGTACAATTGGAAACTAAATCTTTATATACAAATTGATAAATTAACAACAAACAAAAATGAAAGACAGTTAAGAATTTGAGACAGAGAAAAGCAATGAATGCAGTTAGAAAACTGTCAAGGACACAAAGACACATTTGATTCCAGTCTGTAATTGTTTTTTGTTTTTTTTTGTTTGTTTGGGGTTTTTTTGTTCTCGTAAACTGGTTCTCTTTTTTGTTCAATTACAGAATCAGGTCAAATTTACAAAAAGTTGACAACCCATGCCCATATCAGTGACATCATTCCCATCACAGAATACACTTACATAATCAATGACATCATCAACACAGACCACGCCCACATGATTACAGGTAAAGTCGACCATTGTTTAAACCTTAAACATTTCTTGTAATTCTCTTGCAGATTACCACAATATATTTTTCTGAAAGCCAAGTTTTCATACACTACCGGTCAAAAGTTTTAGAACACCCCAATTTTTCCAGTTATTGATTGCAATTCAAGTTGTGTAAGCCCAATGAATACCTTGAAATGGTACATAGGTAAGTACTGAAGAGCCAGAGGTTAAAAAAAATGTTTGGTTACCCAAAACCGAAAAATAATGTACATTTCAGAATTATACAAGAAGGCCATTTTCAGGGAACACAACGTGGGTTAACAATTTAAAGCTGAATCAGCCTTGAAAGCTGGTGCTACTAATTCCTACAGGTGTCCCAACTTTTCTGGATTACTTACAACCCTCTCTGTCTGCATAAAAGCAGTGTTGGAACACACTGTGGTACCAGACCCTCATGAGCATCAGGTGAACAGTATTGTACTAAAGAAAGTAGTGTGTTGCTACAAAAATGGCAAAAAAAAGGCAATTAACAATGGAAGAGAGACAGACCACCATAACACTTAAAAATGTAGGTATTTCCTACAGGGAAATTGCAAAGACAGTCAAGGTATCAGTGAATACAGTTTTTTTCAGCATCAAAAGGCACTCAGAAACTGGGGGAAACTCTAACAGGAAGTGGTCTGGCAGACCCAAAGCCACAACTGAATCAGAGGACAAGTTTCTGAGAGTTAACAGCTTGCGTGATAGGCGGCTCACAGGACAACAGTTTCAAGCACAGATTAATAGTAGTCATAGTAAGCAAGGCTCAGTTTCAACTGTGAAGAGAAGACTTCGAGCTGCAGGTTTAACAAGACGAGTTGCAGCAAGAAAGCCATTGCTAAGATGTCAGAATAAGACAAAGAGGCTCTCCTGGGCCACGAAACACTGCCATTGGACTACTGAAGACTGGAAGAAGGTATTATGAATGATGACTCTGAAAGATTCTTGCTATATTTTGATCCGGATCACAGTACCAGTCAAAAGATTCTTACTAGCGAGGTGTCTTAGGCAAGGAATGGAAGCAGCCGGTAGATGGTCGATTTGTTTTAATAGCAAAACGTCAAACAAAACAGGTCCAACAATAAAGCAAAATAAACAACTGGAGAAGTATTCAAGGAAATCTCGTACAACAGTTGTTAATACGCAAATCCTCTCAAGAATAATTTTTAACTTCTCAAGAATAACTTCTAAAGTATCATTAGTTGTTTACGCTTATATACCTGTGTGGGGGGAGTGGTTTTTGACTTCCCGGGTGTGTGTTCAAATCTTGTAGGCCAATGGAAGAAAGAGGCTAGGCCTCTTGTGGCCAATCATATTATTGTTCTTGTATCATGTGATGCCTGCAGTCGCCACTATATGGCACTGCTGTTCCATGATTCAGCAGTGTTGGAAGAACCTTTTGTTGCTGTTGAGTGGGGCGTTATCACAAGGGAAGTGGACGGAGCCATAAAGTCCAGTCAACCACAGGTGGTCATGTAGATCAAAAGGAATGGATGGCTCTGGGGTTCCCTGTGAGAAGGTAGATTGGGAGATCTCCCATTGTTCCCAGGGAGTAGAGGTGTTTTTAGAAAGTTAGTGTGAAGAGAATTTGGGGAAATTCCTTTTGAATGTGTGGGGCTATGTGACTGTGTGTGCTTGGGAAAGCCATCTGGTATCTTAGCATCTTCCTGCTGCAGACCCAACCAAATGTGAAAACCACTGAAATCTAACAACTCAAAATTTCAAATCTTTGAAATCACGCAGGATCTTTGTACGCTGTCGAGTAGGCGAGAGGATGGTTCCACAGTGTGTGACATCAACTGTCAAACATGGAGGAGTAAGTGTGATGGTCTGGGGCTGTTTTGCTGGATCCAGGGTCGGTGACTTGTACAGAGTGAACGGCACCGTGAACCAAAACGGCTACCACAGCATTCTGCAGCGCCATGCAATACCCTCCGTTATGCGCCTAGTTGGTCAGAGGTTCATCCTACAGCAAGATAATGACCCAAAACACAAGTCCAAGCTATGCCGAACCTACCTCAGGAAAAAAGAACAAGATGGTAAGCTTGAAGTCTCCAGACTTAAACCCCATCGAGCTGGTTTGGGATGAACTGGTGCCACACATTTATGGGAACTTCTGCAACAGACTTGGGAAGAACGTTCTGAAGAATATTTGATTTCTATTGTAGAAAGAATGCCACAAATGTATTCAGCTGTTATATCTGCCAAAGCTGGCTATTCTAAAATTTAGAATACATTTTGGTCTATAAATTGATTCCATGATTTATTTTTCAACTCAAATTGCTTATTTGTTCTATGCTTTCATTTCAGAATGCAATGACACAATAAACTGAATAATTTTCAGTAAAAAACTGGAAAAATTGTGGTGTTCTAAAACTTTTGACATGTAGTGTACATGGGATGACATCAATTATGACATTGTACAACAACATCACTTTCATGTAATCTCAAATTCCACCACTTGATGCAAAAATGTGAAAGTCTGACAATGAATCACAATAGTTTCTGTACGGTTTCACGTTTTTGTGAAGGTAAATTTTAGAGCAGCCAGTAATGTTCTGGAAAGATATTTCCTTCAGTTTAATTACATAATGACATTCTAGTGACATGACCTTTTTTTCAAATTGCAGTAACATCTCTGGGTTTTAGTGCAACATTAGTTTTTGTAACTTGATAATTACAAATGTTTTGAGACTTGCTGCAGCTTTTTAAGATGCTAAATATGTCAGGAATACAAAATATAGCATATACAAGAATTTCTAATATAAATGACATCATGAAATAACATTAATGTAATGAATTCAGGTATTCACATTGGCTACTTAAGCTGTATGGTGGCATGTTTCTCTGTCTGTATTTTCGTGGTTGGGATGTTTGGGAAGTGCTAGTAGGTGGCAGCAATTCAACTCAAACCAAAAGACACTATCTATGACGTAAAGATTGTGTTTGGTTGGGATAGTGTTGAAAATAAAAATCACTGATCACCAGTCAAAAGGATTCACCATGTTTGACGGGATTTTTAAACACAGACAATGTGACTTACAATGTCGTGGAGGATTGGCGTCATTCAACCGTTTACAGACTGACAATTTAGGCACAGAAAACCTACACAAAGAAAAACAAAGAGTGGTGGAGCCTGTTTTCAGTAAGGTCCAGTCAAGAAGTCATTTAGTTTCGACACAGTTCATTAGTGATTTACTTAATTTCCAGAACTCGAGTGGGTGTAGCCTTTATGTATGCCATTAGCACGTTAGGATCATCACCTGCAGACTCAACTAGCACAGTTAGCGCAGTAAGCATTTAGCTGCAGTAACAATTTTTTGTCCACATACATTTTCATATGATAATGAAGAAAATAATAATCACTGTTATTATTATTATTTTTTAACTCAAAAGAAGTTCCAAATAAACAGTAAAAGATGGGTTTCCTTAAACTAAAGAGGGAAAAATACAAAAGAGGAATAAACATAGGTAGATTTTGAAACTGCTTTTTCTCACAGTCCCAAAATGTAGGATGGTTAGAATAATCAGACTAGACCTAGATTTAAGTTTAAAGAAATATTTAAACTTAAGGGAAATAATTCTGACCAAAATCGCAAAAAAGTCAAAACGCTATGATGTGAATTTCATCCTATTCTCCAGAAAACATGCAAAACCAAATTATTTTGAAGTTTTAAGAAATTGTTAAATTTTTTATCAGTCAAAGACAAAGGGGAAGAAAATAATTTTGAGGTTTGTTTCCTCAGCTTCCTGCAGCGTCACTGTTGTTCCTTTGGATGTTTGCTCCACAGAAAGTCAGGAGTCACAAAGAGGAAAACTGCATTGTACAGGAAACACACAGGCACATGCGCACAGGCACACACATGCGCACAGGCACGCGCACACACAGAGCTGACAAATGGCACATTAGTGGTCAGGAGGGGCAACCATGTTGTGAAGTCCAGAGTTTAGTAACAGACAAACAATGTTAACGGCAGTGTTTTCATTTTTTATTTTTTCTTATTTTTGAGAATGACAGTGAATATTTCAGCTCTGGTTTCCATCAATTTAAGGTTTATCTGAATTTCCTTTCTTTTCAAATATTACTGTTCTTCTCTTTGTGACTCTGGTGGTTTTCCAGCACAGTTGTCAGCCTCAGGAGACACCACACGAGAACAACCTGTGGTGTCATCAGAGAGGTGATAATTGGCAGCTGAAGCAGCAATTAGAGCAGAGAGATGGGAAACTCACATAGAAATAAAAATCAACCATGAACAAGTCTAGTAACAAAATCCAAAAATTGATTTGACTTTTTTTTGTACACTCAGTTTGTTCTTCTCACTGTAAATGTGTCAGGTGACCAAACCCCACCTCTTTCACCCTGTAGTAGTTTAATGACTCGGCAAAAACATAAGAATGTGAAATTTTTCTCCCTTAGAACATCCGACACTACTGTCCCCTCAGAACATCCAACTCCTCATCTTCACTTGACATGGCAGTATTGAGATCAGTGAAGTCCTCAACACAACTTCCAAAATCAGAAAATAAGGAAATCAGAAATGCCGTCTGTGCTGAAAACATTTCTACCACAAAGCACAGAGCAACACAATTATCTGATGCAGCTCTGTGTTTTCTATTCAGGTCCAATTCCAAGGATGACAAACATAAGTGTTAAAGTCTGAAGGTGCATTCCTCACAGCAGCTAGAGGTTTTGGGTAAAATCAGGTAATGATGTAAACAAATGGTTATAATAGTCACATGACTTTTTGTTTTTAATTTTTCCATTTGGAATTGGAATTGAATTAAAGCTGCCGCGTGTAGACCAGAAACATGGTTTAGTTTTCCCACAGTTTGCCATTGGAGCAGTGTTGTGTACCTTCCTCACGGGTGTGTCCTGTGAGATCCTGCCCCTACGAATCCTCTCAGGACTAAAAAGCTGAGAGGCTGCTGGTCATGTGATTCCACAGGAGCAGCTTCTCATTTAGGTGTTTCAAACAAAAAAAAACAGTGTCAGGAAACTGCAATCCATTTTCCAAAAAGGAAACCCTTTTCCTGTGAGGTGTGTGTGCGGCAGCAGGAGTGTCAGATACGGGACAGAGAACAAAAGTCGCGGAGGAAGCAGGAAATGGCGTCTCAGAAAATTCCTTTGGCAATTTTCAGACCTTTCTGTTTCATCCGTGGAAGTGTGGAGCTCATTACCGTCTTTGTCCTCAATGGTCGCGGAATGTCGCGTTTCTTCAGAACAAAGTCATAGTTGGCAGTGGAGTTCATGGCGTAGAATACATTGGCGTTGTCTGGGATACGCAGCTCTGGAGCACAAAGGGAAAAGAGAGGTAGACAAGAAGGACAACATTAAGACGATGAAAATTTGAAAAAAGACAATGGAAAAGGTGTGAAGACCAAGAAAAAAGAGAGACAGTCACAGATTAACTTTAAGAACTTGACAAATGTCAATAATAGTAAATAACGTGATTTTAAATACAATTAAGTTTTATTCAACATTTAAAAAAGCTGCTTTAAAATATAAATCTTTGTGGTTGTCAAGTTGTGACTGAGGAATATCTAACTTCTATCCAGGTGGCGAGACCATCAGGTTGTTTATGGACAAATTATCAAAAACTGATTTAAAACATTTAAACTGAAAATCTGCTTCTATGTTGTTAAATTAGAAGCGTCAGAACAACATCTGCTTAAGTGACATTAAAAACAATAACTGGACTCCATCCTGGAGATTTAAGAGACATGTCCACTTCAATACCTTTGTCCTCAGAGATTTTCTGCATCAGCTCATATTCCTCCGTCTTCTCTCGCTCAAGGTTATGTTTGATCATGGCTTTTCGGATGACGGACGGAGTTTTGTCCTGACTTGTCACCTGGAGGAGGAAAAACCGAACAGTCAAGACTCAGTGTTAAAAAGGTAAAATAAAACACTGACTTTTCATTAAAAGTAAATATAACCAAAACAAACTGCGAGATTAGCCTAAAAAGTCATATGAAGCCATATGATGGAGGCAGCAACGATTCCAAGTCTATTTTGTCCCTGTCAGACAGGCGTCCTTACCAGGATGCTCTTGTACATATTCCCGTTCTCCACATCTAGGCTGACCCTGATGATGCAGCAGTCGTCCACCTGCTGGTTGTACAGGGGCAGAGACAATGTGGAGTAGTTGGACACGGCTGACACGGAGCGTTTGTGGGAGCGAGATGCCTGCAGTGGCGTGGATGAAGACACGGAGGATGAGGAGGCGCTGCTGGAGCCTGAGCCCGAGCCTGTCCTAGAGGTGTCTAGTGAGGACAGAGATGTACACTCCCAGAACTGAGGACAGGAAAGTTGGGGTTAAGGGGTGGAAACGGGGAAAAAGACGAAAAATGTGTTTATTGTAAATTAATGGAACCGTGTGTGTGTCTTCTCTTTCACTGTTGTTCCTGCTGTAACTGTCCACTCTGGTCCACAAATTTATGACAGAATTAAATAATATCAATATACTACTTACAGTGGAGGTGGAGTCAGCAGCTGGAACTTCTCTTCTTAAGGCTGAGACACCGAGTTTCACTAAGGGGGTCGACGTCTGCAGAAGAAAAGGACGTAGGGTAGCATAGAAAAAGAATAAAAGGTCATTACCTTCATTTTATTTTCCGTCTTCTGGCGTTCCATTTGGCTTTATAAAAATTTTGCAGCTTGCCGTCGATGTAGCTTCTACTTTTATTAAGTTGCCAAGCCTTCCTCACAATGTCTGCTTATCTTTTAGTTGTCCTTTTAACTACCGTATTGTCTGGACTATAAACCGCTACTTTTTTCCCACGCTTTGAACCATGTGGCTTATACAACAATGGGGCTTTTCTATGGCTTTTTCTTCAGCCGCCAGGAAAAGGGAGACAGACCGGGGAAGTCAGTGCAAAGAAGAACACGCTAGTTTTTATTTAGAACATGCAACACAACACGCACGACAGCTAATTATTTTCACACACTCGCCCAATCATCATGGAAAGCACACGAAGAACTTCGTATGATGCAGCTTTAAAGAAGAGGGCCATCGATCTGGCAAGGAAATAGGGCTGCTGCGCGTAAGCTTGGCGTTAATGAATCGATGGTGTGACCTTGGAGACGGCAGCGGGAAGAACTCATTCAATGCCAAAAGACGGCAAAGGCTTTCAGAGGGCATAAAAGCAGGTGGTCTGAACCAGAATGTCCTTGAGGACTGGGTGAACACACAGAGAGCAGTCGGCCGAGGTGTATCCACCGTGCAGATCCGACTGAAAGCCAAAGCAATCGCCCGCACTCCGGGGTGAGTCGGAGGCTTGGATGACCAGCCACGAGAAATCATTCACAAAAACTGGCCGCATCCTTTTCTGACATCTGTCAGTGGATCATTATAGCGTGGAGTAGTGTGAAAGAATCCACCATCACCAACTGGTTCAGAAAGACTGTTACGTGAAGAGAGCAGCACAACTTCAGATGCAATTTTACCTCTAGATGAAAGAGACAGGAGCAACACCGACAGAGACACTAAAAAGATTTGTGACGAAGTTTTTCTGAGGCTGTTCAACTCCGACACTTAAGAAGACAACTTCAGCGGTTTCAGTGCGCAGGAGGAAGATGAATAAAACCATCAATTACGTTTCTGTTTTGTTCGATCAGCACTTTTACTGCCGTGTTACAGGCATTGTTAAGAAACAATCAGTTCAGGTATATAAATAAACATTTACAGTTGTGGATGAAATGTATTCATGTGTTCATATTTTATAGAAGTATGCAACATATATAATCATGTTTTAAAAGATCATAAGAGATGTGCTAAAACATATAACC